TCTACACACAATACCATTATTCTGAGCAAAACATTAATCTGCCATTACTAGTATATGGGAAAAAAAGAGGTGCTACAGGTTCTAAGGGATCGTTTTAATTTCTGACTCAAGGTTTTATCTAGATTTAGCTTATGGCTAGGTACAGCTGTTTATGGTGTTTACAGTGGCTTTGGTATTGCTATAGAATTAGCCTAGCATTGTATTAACAAAAGCCACTAAAAAATTGGCAGGAGAGAGGCCAGGCAGCTGAGCAGGCAGGTCACTAGCACAAGATTCAGCAGATGCATTTGTGACTCTCTGTTGTACTTGTGGCCTTGGTCAGGGCACTGACTTCTTCCTTTCCAGCCCTTCTCTTTTGCCCATTGTTTTGATGATTTAGAGACAGGGACCCTCTTTCCCTCTATGGCACTCACCAGAGTCTCAGTAAAGCCTTTAGCTACTACTGCCCTGTAAAGCAGACCACACCTGAAGCTACCTGTACCACACCACATCACATGAAACCACTGCTGCTGCTGCCTTCCAGTTGACACTCAGTGTATTTGACATACTTAACTGCCAGAAAAAAAGAAAAAATAAATAAAGGAACCCCAACCAAACAGAAGAAAACCCAGAAACAAACAAACAAGCAAAAAACACCGCAGCCACACTGCCTTTCTCAGATGGAGGCACTGCCATTGATTATGATAAGCTATTCCCTTGCCTGCTTATTAAAGGAGCTGTAGGATATTTGCTGCCCAGGCATGCAGGCAAAATTCATCCTACATCAGATGGTCCCAGAGCAGAACAGTTGAATTTCTGTAGTGATGGGAAAGAGAGAGCAGTGGGAGTTATCTGCCTCACTTGGCCTCATTCATGGTGGAGCTGACAGTGCTGGGCTGGTACCAGCAGAGTCTCCAGTTAGGGAGGTCCAACATCAGCTCTGGCTCCTGCTGACTGCTGCAGCAGTGCTTTAGTGCACCTTCATCAACACTTCCATAGGAGCCAGATTATTGTGATTCTTTTCATTTCTGGATGGGAGAGCTTGGGATGGATGGATGCTTCATCATGGTCAGGAGACAGAAAAGGGCTGCCCAGTTACCAGCCCCATGCAGCAGGACCCCTCTGCTGTGGAAACAGAAGAGTGTTGCTCCAAAGGGCAAAGAAAGAGGATGTAGCAACACTAAAGGACTCCCACTTCAATGTCTTTACTGTGGTAGGCTTGAGGCTGCTTTATGCAAAATGATTGTGGCTTTTAGCAGAAGCACAAACTGAAGCTGCCAAGGGAAATATCACAGAAGCTTTAGAAGCAATACTTTTTCGAGCTGGTTTAGTCAAAACTCGTTGTAGAGAACAAGTCCAGGTGAGTCATACCTAGTCTGATGGCAAACCATACAGCTGCTTTTGTATAAATGTGGGTTTATACAATGACTAGATTAAGAAGGATGTAGCCATGACCAGTGAGCAGGCACTGCTGATGTAGAGCCATTGGTGCCAAGGTCTTTCCCACCAGCACCTTGTGTGGAGGCTTCCCCATACTGCTCCTCTTTCCCAATGCCCACCTGTTAACATTCCCTAAAGACTTCTAACTTACTTTCAGCTATGGGATGGTCTTCCTTTTGTAATATTTATAATTGTTGCACCAGCTGGAGCTCTCTTTTGTGGAATCCTTCCTTTGTTTGCTACAACCCACTTAGAATATTTACAGTAATTGATATATGTCTCCAAACTCATCCTTTCTTAAGAGCTCTCTGCTACAGTGCAGGGGTCTCAGCTCAACTGTTAGACCAGCAAGAGGTCCCCAGTGGCACTTTGTGATAATTTAGATGATCACTGCCCTGCTCTTTATGCCCAAAGGAGAAGGACAAGATCAAGTAGCCAAAAAAGATGAAATCGATCCCTGTCAGGGTGGCTCAGGCATTAGGAGGTTTTAAATACCGTTAAAAGCTTGCATTTAATCATAAAGCCATCAGCCAAGTGTTTTTATAATCACTGCAACTGTCCAGTTTCTGGTGCTTAGGGTGGAGAAACTTTTATTAACAAATGCTGCTATGAACTTGACAAAAATCAAGTTCAGCTATATTTTCCCTGACATTCAGCCACACTCTTACAGACACATGTAGAAGAAGGATCTGCTGTCCCAACATGAGCAAAACTGCTTTAACATCAAACACAGGTAACCCAAACAATTTCAAGCAGTGTGATCTGTGCTGCTCGTGTGGATGGACTGACCCACTGGAGGCACTGGGGTTTTACCACATGAATCAGAAAATGATTAAATAAGTCGCACACACACATTGCAGGAAGTATGACCCAGTCTATCCAAAAGCACAAAATGCCTAATTTCTGGAGTAGGAGCATTAAGCAGAGACTTAAATGTGCTATGACATTTTCCTTAGAGCCAACAGCAATAGTGGGAAGGAAGTTGGAAGGAAGAGCATTGCACAGCCTCCTTTATAAAAACAGAATTGGTTTTCTCCAAAATACTGGTACAAATTTGCATTCCACCACTGAGGCAAATCAACGAAATTTGAGCTGAAGAGCCCCTTTAAATACCCTCTCCCCAACAGCAAGCAGAGTTGTTAGTGCAGCCATTTGGCCTGTCCCTCAAGGTAACCAGAAACAGAAAGAACTGATATAAAGAACTGATATCTCTACATCAAAGACTTCAAATCTCCAATCAGACCATCTGGGCTTTAAGCTGAAAGATTTGACGCTTGCAGGCACCATCCCTGGACACAAAAGCTCATCCCCACATGAGCTCAGCCTGTCCAGCAAAGTGGTGTTTGTCCCCCTGCCACCTTCCTCCTCCATCAAAGCAGTGGGGTCACCCCACCTGCAGCCCATCCTGTAAGCACCAATACTGCTTATGGCAAGGGGTCTTTCAACATTTACAATTAATTTTCATGAATATTCTCAAGTGCCACACAATAATGTGACACTAAAAAAACATTAGTTCCTTCCCGTACCATCCTCTACTTAGCTTTTTCTCATCGTCAGGAGATTTATGAATTTAATCTCCATTTTATAGAACTTATCACTTTTAACAACTAGAGGAAAATGCTAAATTGTTTTTATTGCTGCTAGATGTTCAAAGACATGATGCTGTATATTGCCATTTACATTTCACATTAAAAGTGAAATATGTTGGGAATGTGCAAGTATTTGTTTTAATTTGACCCATCTGTTAAATGAAAAACAAAGAGGACTTCTAAATCACAATATTTAAATTCAGCGATTTGTAAACAATTTATATGTTCATTTCTTCTGGGTTAAAATTGCCCTAAAGCATCACTATTATGAAATCTCCAAATTAAATTGCTTTGCATTGTTCTCAGAAAGGCAGGCCAGAGTTTCTTCCTCCTCAGTTTATTAATTTATTCCCCAAGCCAAGTAAATTAGCGAGACTCATATTAAGGTCTTGTCACTGAAATAATTTTGGGGAATTCATGGAAGTATCTACTGCCTCCAAAAAGCTGAGAGTATGGAGGAAGTGTCAGATACTGGTGGCAAATTCTCTCATGATAAAGGACAAACTGGTTGCTTTCATTCAGCTTTCCAGTACTCTTGCAAGCAGGACATCTGCCTGTTCCATGCTAGATCATCACCGAGGAAGAACAGCAATTAAGAAGGGGAAAAAAAGTCATGGCAATTTACCTTCCCCTCTCAGCCTAGTCAGGATTTGGATCTTAGACTGGACTTTTATGTAGCTGTGGTAATGGTAATTTGCAAGGGGTTGCAGAGCCACAGACATTTAAGGAACCCCCAAGTAGCACTTGAAGAGCAGATCTGTTTTTCTGCTTTGTGCAACAGGTATATTAGCACACTGCTGTGCCTTTAACCCAGAAATCAGTACTGTCAGTGGAATGAGGATACTAAGAGCCCTTTTAATCACCCACTACAGGGCCTCTTGCCCTACACTAACAGACAGCTTGTGAAAGGAGATTATTTCTTCATTAGAAGTACACTCTGAGCATGAGGAAGGGCTCTGTACAGCTTGGAATGTCACACCTCCCATCTGAAGCCCTTGTTATGCTCTCTGCTGATAGAGCGTGCAGCTCCACCCTGTCCCAAACCAAAGTCATATGCCTTGTCTGAATGATGAGACTAGAGGAAGAATCAGAGAACCCTCAGAAAACAAAAATAATTTAAAAAGAGGAAAAAAATAATTAAAGAGCTGATCTACCTAAAGTTGCAGAAGTGGACAGACCGATAAGTTTCAGTTCCCTCTCTTCAATATCAATCAGAGCACCAAAAAGCAACTTGCAAATACTGAGTCTACTGCACATTCTTACTCTAGATGGTTCATTTATTATATCCAGTATCACATTAAGCAACCCAACAAAACAGGAACTAGTAGTAATACAGCCAGGGCATGATTAAGGGCGCCTCTAAGAACATCAACAAATGTGGACACTACATGGATCACAGCCTGGAAAGATTCCAAGTTGGCGAATTGACAGCTTGATTAGTTTCTCTCTGACAAATGTGGCAACAGAGATCAGAATCAAATATAATTTCAAGGTTACAGGCCTTCAAATAAAACCAGAGAAAAAAAATCAGAGGGCCAAAACCAAATATCAAATCAACTCTCCAGCCCACTTTCCTTATTGGTCAGATGCAATGCAGCCACAAGAACTGAGGTTAAATAAGAACTCTCCAAGGAGCATCCTGAATTAACAGGGAAATGCCTTTAGAGAGGGACATGCTTCAGATTTTGCAAGACAGTCTTCCCTCCCATCAGGAGCCTTACTAAATATGCTCATGTTTGTAATTTATTGGAAAACGTGCAAGTAGAGCTACTTTATATCCAGGCAACCATTGCCTATTGCTACCTCAAAAGTCATGTTGAAACAGCCTATCACCCATATTGCTGCACGTAGGCATGCAGAATAATCAGGCAACAGAAACAGCAGACAGTAAATGGATTTTTCCTTCTTATTCCCTCCCACCTGTTCTAACAACAAAAAGAGTGTGTCAAAAACATATGGAGACATCAGTTTTTTTTAAATGTATCTTCACAACTAAAAGTATTGCCTATCCCTCATTTTGTACCAGTCTCCAACCATACATTCCCCATTTGGGGGAACTTGGCGAGATGAATTGGAGACTTCTGGTCTTCCTTCCCATGTGGAAAGGGGGCAGAGGACAGAGGGGAGGCAGAGGAGGACAGGGTTCTTACCCAGAAAAAAAATGATCTGCCTCCTGGAGCTCTTGCCCTCTGAGCTCTCACTTTTCCTTAGGTACTTCCGGTGCTTTTTTTCTCCCTTCACTGCCACAGTTCCTTCCTTGTGGATCATCAAGGCTTTCATCGTGCTGTGGCACATGAAGGTGACAGATCCCAGCACTATGATGTACACAGCAAAGGCACTGAAGATGCTGGCTTGAAAGAGAGTCCACCTGGAGGAGAGGTTGGTACAGATGGTCATGTTCTCCTTCAGCTCGGGTATGTGGTGCCTGGGAGAAGGTCTGACACAGGCCGTGGTACTTCGGTAGCCCTCAATGATTTCCAGGGGATATTCTGTGCCCATGGCAAAGGGCAGGGGCAGAGCCACCAAGATGGATGTCCCCCAGACAAAGGCAATGAGCAGCCTCACTGTGCGGGGTCCAGACAGAGACTTGAACTTGAAGGGGTGGCAGATGGCGATGTACCTCTCGAAGCTGAGGGTGGCAACGTGCAGCACAGTGGCATAACTGCAGGCTTCAAAGAGGAAGTAGTAGAGCTTGCAGGCAATGTTGCCATTGGGGGTAGAAAAGGGGCTCCAGATGGCACTGAAGAACTCCATGGGCATGCCCAGCAGGATGACCAGCAAGTCAGAGCAGGCCAGGCTCACCATGTGGTCGGTGACTTCCTTCTGCAGGTAGCCTTTCTTCTGCAGGATCCTGGTGGCTTTGATGGTGATGCTGTTCCCCAAGATGCCCACAACAAAGATGAGGATGTAGATTAAGGCCATAATGATCTTGATCCACAAAGCCACCTCAAACTCCTGGACGTGGCTGTGGTCAATGAGATGAGAACAGTTTGGAGTGGATGTCGGTCTTGCCATGAGCAGAACCTCGTGCAGAGGAGGGAGGAAGTGTCCTCCTGCCTTCACTGATGTTTAAATTCACAGCAAATAGATTCTTTCTCACTCTGCCCCTCTCACGGAGACGCACATGTCCGAGCAGTCGGGTATAATGTGTGTCACCTGGCCACACCTGTGGGGTTTCTTAACAACCCTCTGAGTCAGTAAGTCGAACAGGAAAGTGTTTCAGCTCTTACCTTTCTTTATGGCAAACACCTCTTTCTCCTTTTGGATTTTGCTTCTCCTTTCTTTATGGACTGAAGCTGCTATTTTCCAGCCCTTCACGGTATGAGCTGCTCTGCTTTCAGCGCCTGCCTCTTCCTCTGCAAGCAAAGCAGCTTTCAGTCCCAGCCCCAAGAGGAAGTCAGAGTTTCTGTGTGGTTATATCTACTCTGTTAACCATTAACTTAAATCTTGGCTATCCCTAGTTCCCTAGTCACTGGCAGAACAGTGGGTTTAGAGGAGAGAGAAAAAAAAAAAAAAAGAAAAGGGAGAGCCATCCATGTCTGAAATTCACTTCCTGTAGCAGGAGGTGCTTCGCAGGGACAAAAATAGTTGTTGGTTTTGTGGGTTCAGGCTGAATGTGTGACTGGACACGTGCTAAAGAGAAAGTATCTCCTCAGGATTTTAACATTACTGGTCCTCAGATTTCATTACTACGTGTGCTAATGCCACAAGCTTCACTACTTTACGTTTCCTTTTATGAAGACCTTGGCATCTGCAGCAGTGGTATTGGTTACGTGCAGCCATGGACTGATTTACATCAACAGGACACTCTGGTTTTTGGTTGCTGCCACTGAACTGGTAGCTTCTTAAAATAACTGGTTAGACTCCGAAGAACCTTCTCAGAAGTTATGAACTCTAAGCTGAGCTCTAGATTTAGACACATCAATTGTTTCCCTTCAAATTTCCGTCTTCTCATGTTTGATAAGGGAAATAATGAAGTCAGTAACCCAGTCATGCTCATGCTTTCAAATAATCTGGAGTAGCAGGGGATGAAAATGTACTTCCCCCTCCTGTGCCTCACCCCAGGGGGAATGAATTTAATGCGCTCTTTAGTTTTAGTTTCAAACCATAGCACTGAAGGCTCCCAAGGTAACCCCTGGAAACATTTAATTAGAGGGTGTGTATATGGATTAGGAAACCTTTAAATTACAACGCAAAATGGCTGTACAGCTTTTGCAGCTATAATAGAGAAAGGCCCACTACCGTGATCTGCTCCAATACCAAATCTAAGAACAGTGGGTTCACAAAGTGATTTTTATTAACTAGACAAGCTCATGTGACACTTGCAGCTCATGATAAAAGAGAAACATTAGGAAGTTGTTGTTAAGCAGTCTCCTCACATTCAGTGGTTATCACTGTACCTCAGCAGCCCAAGTATATAATGAAGAAAAGATGCCCAAGCCAGGATAATCAGCACCTGTTTCTATGCATTATTTATGCATTTCTGTTTCAGAAAAATCACCTCAAACCTTGCACAACTTCAAGATGTGTAGTCCCAGTCATCTTTCCTTATGTTTGATAATTCACATTTGTTCTGCTCAGACAAGCTTTCTATTATTACCCCATTTCTTTCACTTAATTTTACTTTATAAAAGTGTGAACAAAGATTACATATGCATGACTGAATTGTGGAAATGAAGCTAATTAAAATTTGCTGCTTACCATCAAAAGGGAAAAGTGAGAGAGAGCAAAAGAGAGAGAAGGTCCAATAGGATTAGATCTCCCCCTTTTTTCCACACCAATTATAAAATGCAGAACACAATTTTGCATTTTCAATATTATCTTTAGAACATACACAAAGTTTATTAAGTTTCTAATAAAGAGCTGATGCCACAAAGGGGATAGAAAGGAAAGAGACAATTGTGGATTCTCATAGATTAAGACCATTAAATATAAAAAAATATTACATAGGTTACTGGACTAGATAAACTAGGAATGAATATTCCAGAGATAGGTATAAAATCCCTATCATGGATGATTATAAAAAAAATATATCTTCTTGGAGGAAGAAATTTCTGACAACTAAATGTGATCTTTGTGGCATGGAGGTTGAGAGGTCTATACCCGGGGGGATGTGATACCAGTTTATAAACTTATGATTTGTGTGATGGTCTCATTTTAGGGATTCCCTTAAGTTTTCCTTGATATCTCATAACAGTTAATACCGTGAGTTAATTTTTTTCTTGTTGCCTTTCCCTTAGCAGTTTCAAAAGTAAACTGTGGCCTGTGTAGTTGCACCTGGGAGAGCACTCCAGGGAATTCCTCCTGACCCAGTTTGTTGCAATTGAACACCACGATTTCAGCTGCCAGCACTGAAGAGGAGGCAAGAGCATTAAGGATAGAAATCACCATATTCCTTTCTAAAATCAGCACACATGGATGCTGCACACTGCCAATCACTTGTCAGCATCCTTGGTAAGCAAACAGAGCCTCCTGAAGATGCAGATCACACCGGCACAGGGTGCAGCTGGCTCTGTGCTGGCCAGTCATGTCCAACCGAATGCCTGTTGTGATGCAGTTGTTGGGAAGAGATGACAAGTGGTGGGAGCCAGAGGAACAGTGAGATGGAGCACAGATTGTTGTCGCTGTAGTATATAAGGTGATTTTTCACCTTCAGAGATAATAAAGCTGCTGTGATCACCCGCCCCGGTTTGTTATCCAGCAGAGTGTACAAGGTTTCCTGAAGGGCTGTTTGCTTTCTTGCCTGGTCCTTGGATAGCACCCTGGTGAAAGGCCTTTTGGGGGCAGAAGAAAGCAGAGCTTTATCATCCATCCTTTAGGCCACTGCAGGAAGATCACCTCCTGCACCTTGTGCAGCACATCACCTAGCAACTCGCAGTGCCGGGGGCCAGGCTGGGCTGAGGCTCTCAGTCCTCGGCCAGCTGCTGTCTCATTAAAAGCCGGGTCCCCCAAACTCCTGATGAGGTTGGTCCCCCAAAACTGGCAGTTAGCACAAGTTGTAGCTGGAATGAATCTTGGAAAAGCAAACTCATTTGACAGATGCTGTCGCATTTCGGTAAATGGGTTGCAGATTAACCTTTTCCGGCGTGTGGGGGGAGGATCGTTCCACTCCCGCCTTACAAATGCCCTTTCCTCCCCAGCTGTGCAGCGCCAGCACGTGGGTTGGCTCGGGGTGCCCAATCTGCAGGATCACTCTGTGGTTATTTCTCAATTACCATACAGCATGGATGCCAGGGTGCTCTGATAGGCAGACAGGCACTGCCACACTTGCGTTATCACTGCAGAATTATTTCTCGATAGCTCTGTTGTGAATATGCAAATCCACCTTAATTGGCTACGCTAATCACACTGCTCTGACTGGTTTCTGTTCTCAAATTGTTCAAGCTACTTGACAGGAACAAAGAAAATATCTCGGTTCCTTGCTTCCCTTAGCTTAAAAACTCTAAAACCTAAATGGAAAAGGAGAGCTATCTCAAAAGCGAAGAAAATGAGGCTGTGAAAAGGATTAATTTTTTTTTTCAGATAAAAACACATTGACTTTTTTTTTTTCTTGCCAGTCTTTACCATTCTCCGTCTCAACAAACCTCTTGTCCCTAGAATAGCTGTGATACCTTTGTCTTGCCAGTATTTGTTTAGACAAAGAGAATCCTGGGCTTGTTCAATTCTCTTTGAAACACAAGGTAAACAAAATGAGATTGCTGTTCTGCAGAGGCAGCTACCCTGATCTCCACAGGCAGAGGAGAAAGTGCAGTGGAAATAAAAGGAAGAAGCAACACAGACAAAAGTGAAGTGTCCAAATGATTTTAAATGTTTTAAGAAATCGATTTGCCTGAGACAGCTCATGTTGGCTTTTAAAATTATTTTTCATTGAAAATTTAAATAATTAAAGACTGCAGTCAAATAACTTCAGGTTTCTTTCTGTTTTCTGGAATCTAACAAGCCTCTTTCCTGTTAAGATCCCTTTGTATTCTTTTGGTGAGTTATTCTTGAACTATATTTTTCTTCTATGGAAGATTATGATGATAGTTAATACAAATAAGTACAAGTCATTTGTGAAGTTTATATCTTCCTAATTTCCCTAAGAGTTTGGTTTTAGGCAAAACAGTCTAAGAACCATCATGCTGTTAACTGCTTGGCTCACTTTCTTCTGGCAACGCAAGAGACTGGGTTATGCAATCTGGGCAGTGGGTCTGCTGTGTAACCTGAGCATCCATAATGAATTCTAGTGAAATTAGATTACCTCTTCGAAGGTGGCATATGGAAAGCTGCCATCTTTTATACAGCAATGTGCAGTGCTACCTGCTGTAATGCATCCTCTTGGAATATCATGTTGTGCATGCTTGCTTTTTTTGGAGGATAGAGAAGGGATTTCAAATGTGCTTCCAGGATACACAGTGAAAAAGATCTCTGCTCCAAATCATTCCGTCTAAATAAATAGATCAAAGCACTTCACTACTTCCAGTGTATTTTACAAATTGGCAAGCAACATGAGAAGAAACTGGGGGCAGTGAGGCTAAATGGTTTATCCAAGATACAAAAAAAAATCTGGGCAACACCTGAGCCTCCTCATCAATACACAGGATTCCTGCTCACTTCCTCACACAACCTGCAGCACGCAGACTGCCGAGTAATGAATTCGTTTACACAGCTCTTCACTGGTTGCTCTGGTGCTTTTAACTGATGTTAATTCATAAAAATTAAAACCCATTTACAGAAACAAAACACATAATTATTGTACCTAGTCATATCTGGAGTTGTTGAACAATACACCACCTGCTGTCCGATCACCTTGGTAAATTAGAGGCATTAAAGCTGCTCAAAGCTTTCCCTCCATTGCAGCTCTGTCTGAAGTAAACCAGGAGGTGTGGGGATTGCTGTGATTAGATGGGAGTGCATTTTGACTGGCAAGGAAGTGAAAGGGTTAATTTTCCACTCTTGGAGTAAGGAAAGAGATGCATTGACCTGTCCCCTGACACTGCAGTAGGTGTCAGGAGGCCAAGAAGAGGCCCCTAACTATGGCCACAAATGGAAAGAAGATGACTAGACAGGCTGGGAAATGCAAGTAAAGCAAGTCTTATCCTGAAATGAGATGGTCCTTTTTGCATCCTTTAAGAACGAGGCACCAAAGGAAATTAGTTTATTTTTATCCAATGCCTGACAAAGGAGCTGTAACCAAAATGAAGACGTACACTAAGCCCAGATCTCAACAGTCACAAACTGACTGTTCTGAACACATATCCTGAAATACCCACCAGACTCCCCTTTGTCCAAAGCACAGTGACAACAAAGCACAACATCTTGTTCAAGAAATCCCCACTGTGAGCCTTGGGACTCAATCCTCAGCACACTGAATCA